TGAGGATTGCACGTGATCAGGCGCGCATGCGTCCGAGCCACATTGTACGCATTCTACCGTGCCACGGGGGAGGGGCCCTTTCAGGTCCTTTTCTGATCTTTGGTTTAGTGGTTTAGGGTTCAGAGTTTAGGGTTTAGGGTTGAGAAGTCAAATCCTGAACCCCGAGCCTAAAAACTTGTTGGGGATGCTTTGGGCTTGCAATGAAGATGGCGATGATGATGATGATGGTGATGTGATGATAATGATGATCTTGAGGATGATGATGATGATGAGGATGATGATGATGATGGTGATGATGGCTGTGATGATGATGGTAGTGATGATGGTAGTGGTGGTGGTGGTGGTGGTGGTGGTGATTCAAGTCCTGAGAACCGAGAGTGCAAGCCAAAACAAAACCTGCAAGCCCGAACACAATGTGCCCCCCAGTACATAGCAAGAAACGCGGGCGCGCGCGCGCAGAAACCTCGAAAAAAAGCAGCGTCTTCAATGTCAGATGAAAAACAATTAGGATAAGTTCACATATCGAAAAGTAAGTCAAAAACAAGTGCTTCAACAAAAAAGCCGTGCGTAAACAGCGGCGGCGGGATGTTTGTGGCTGGAAGCATGCCGATGTGTCACAGGCTCACAAGCTCTTGCAGATGCTTTCGCGGAGGACCTTCTTGAGATGATCGGCAACTCGAAGGATGTTGCAGCGGTAAGCCGCCATCTTGCGCGGCTCCCCAGGATGTTGAGCAGGACGAAGTTACGCCACCAAGCCCTAAACCCCAAAAAGGCGAAGATGTTTGCTGGGCTGTCGCAGCTCAGCACCGATCCAAGCAGCCCCGAGCTCGTCAAGGCATGGCATGTCAACCTCGGCGTGCAGTCAATGAGTCACCAAAAGAGCTCCCTGGTGCTCCCTGCAGCCTCTTCTGCTCTTACGTGACATATATGCAGCTCGCAGCAAGACTCTCAAACCCGCTTCAGACACACACGAACTTCGAGTCCTCCTCGTCGCCATGAGCGAGCGGCCGAAATGCGCGAAGTGCGCGAAGGAAATCGTTGGCAAGGCTCGTGGCATTGGCCCAGGCTTCTGGCCGGAGGGTCGTGATTCGAGTGCTCTGGTCTCAGGGCGTTTCCGTCGAAGGCGGCTGCTACCACCCCGACTGCTTCTGTTGCGACAGGTCTGGGATGTTGTGGGCCCACCAATCTACCGTAAGAGTCTTCGAACATAGGTTTTCGGATGTTTTCGGGTCCGCGAGCGAGCGGTTCATATGTGCACGTAGCCCGGGTTCATACGCGCATGTGCTTTCCGTATGCACTGGCCTGCGCGCGGTTTCTGACCCTGAGCCCCAAGTGCTGGAACCTCAAGCCCCGAACCCCCAACCATTAAGTCCAACAAACCCCTAAACCCAAAGCCTAAAGCCGCTAAAGCCCCAAACCTAAATCCTAAACCCAAGGCTTGATTAAGGAACCCTAAGCCTGAACCCAAACCCTAAACCCTGCAAGACAAAACGTTAACCCGCAAACACTATAAACCCTAAAGCCTGAACCCTAAACCCAAGAACCCTTCTCGAAAGCCCCGCGCCCTAAATTCCCAAGAAAGAAAGCTCGTTTTGGCATGAGTCTGGGTCTTAACCCTAAACGGAACGGCGTGGGGTGGGAGTGAAGGAAGGAAACGCCTTCAATAGACAGGCTTTCACAGCTCATCGCCGTAGTACGATGCACTCGACACAGCTGCATGCTAATCCGCGGCAGAAGTAGACCCAAGAACCCTGATTTAAAAGCCTTAATCCCGAAACCTAAACCGTAAACCCGAAACCGCAAACCCTACACCCTGAACACTGAACTCTACACACCCTAAGCCCTGACATCTAAACCCGAATTCCTAAACCCAAGAACTATGATTGAAAACCCTAAACCCTATTAACCCTAGACGCTCAAACCCTAACCGTAAAGGCTAAACGGCAAACCCTGAACCCTAAACTGCAAAACCCTCAAACCTACCATCCTACATCGTGAAGCCCAAGTCCTAAGCCCGAGCCCTCCCACGAAACGCGTCAGACCATTTGCGGATATGCATATCGCATGTGCCATAGCCCCTGCATGGCCACTCGAGCTCCTCCCTGCAAGGTGTAAGATCCCGCTCTCTGGGCGATTCAATCGAAAAGATGGTCAGCGATTGTGCGAGGAGAGGGGCATTAGGTGCGACCGGTGCTCTGCCCCGACGCTGTTGTCCCGTGTCAGGGCTGCACACCAAGCTCCTACTGTGAGGCTGGAGCTTTCCGTGTTGCCCTGTTCTGCCCCTTCTCTGGGGTTGGAGATTCTTCACGGCACGGCTTCTCGGTGCACGCTTGCAGGCTTGTCATAAAAGGATCGATGGGAAGGAGGGATGCCTTGTAGTGTCAGCATAGCAGCGCAGTTTGTTTCTGCCAGTGGCAGAGGAGACACGAGCAGAAGGCAAGACCTGGCACCCCGAATGCTTCAGGCCTCGCAGTCGAAGCTGTGCATGGCAGTGCTGTGCGCATCATCGTACCAGGTGTGTCAGGTGTGGAGAGGCGATCGCCAACTCCTTCTTTCGCGTAAACGGAGAGCTGAGGTAGGCTTCAAGGCTGCGACCCCCTTAGCTTTAGGTTCTGCACCACATCGGGCGCAGGTGCCATGGTTGCCAGCAGCCTGCAGAAGGCTGGGGGAAAAGGCTGCGAAGTCTTCCGAAATCCATCGTTACCAGGCGCCCCGACCAGAGCGGCAGAGGCCATGCGGGAGGAGCTCCCGACCTGCCGTGGGCCAGCGACTCAGGAAAGCTCGGCTCGGGGATGGGCTGACTTTTCTTTTGCAGACTCGTTCAAGGTGCCGCAAAGCCATCAGAGAGGCGCACGGGCGGGGGGAGGGGGGCAGGGGGGTGAGGGGGGGGGGACACTCGTCAGCTCTGTGAAGTCTTCGTTTCTTTCCGTGGCGCAGAGAGGAGGAGCCGAGCATTCTGGCCGACAAGAGGGACAGGCGAGCCAAGATGTCGCTTCTTCCACGTGCTTTCTTGCAAGCTTCAGCCATCCTGTAACCACGATGGCACTTCAGGTTTCACGAGCGGTGCTTTGTGTGCGCAGAATGTGGTGAAGCACTGACTTCCTACGTCATTCTGGAAGCCCGCAAGTACCAATTCCAGGACGTCTGAAGTGTGGGTCGCCTAAAAAAACACTCGGCCCCGAGAGGAGTGTCCGTACTATTGCGAGACCTGTGCTGACAAATTGGAAGCCAAAGAAGCTCCAGAAGGAGGCTGACTGTCTGGCCTGCACGCACGGCGCTTGTCCATTGGTCCATCTAGAGCACTTCGCGACGGCGACAGCGAGACATTTGCCGGACACCTCTGCAAAACTGGCACAGACACAACCCCCGGCCGCTCGAACACTTCGCCTTGCACATGCCAAGCCGCTTCTTCATGCGATAGCATTTACAAGCTACCCGCAACTCTATTGACCGCACGAGACAATAGGCGACAATAGGTCAGCCCGGTGACGGTCACAATGGCTTAGCAGTTTCTGGTGACTGGCCACTTTCGTTGCTTTGATGCACAGGATGTCAGAATGAGCGCACATGTACCGAGGGTCGCTTGCTTAAGAGACCGTGAAGGGTAGAAAAGTTGGCCAAACAACACGACTAAACTAAGTTGGGAAGCTGAGGAGGGGCTGTCAGAACCAGGGGAGCTCAGGGGCCACGCACGCTCAGAAGCAACAGCTCTCGGGCTCAGTCGGCGTTGTGAAGGAGCACTTTGCTCCCGTGCTGCTTTCTGAAAGCGTGTGTTCATTCAATGGCTGCAGTCCTTGTGATTCTGGTTCCGGCTGATGGCAATTTTCCATGACAGTTGTGACACAGCACACCCTCGCGTGTCCCGTGTCTGCAAGGCATTCCGTGAGTGTATCTGCAAGTGCAATGAAAACCTGCAGGGAACAAGAGTCAGAGTCTTTTTTCGTGACCACGCCGTCGAAGGTATACTCGGATGTTAAGAGGAACTTGCCATTGACAGGCGAGGTGTGAGGCCACCATTAACCCCAGTCAGTGAGCACCCGCAGGACCTTGCAGTCCAAGCCATACCCAAAAAAGCGTGTCAGGGACAAAGCACGTGAGGAGCCGAGTGTGGTCCCATTCAGCACTTTGGAGACGGCGAGCGATTTGAAGCTTGAGATACGCACCAACATAAACGCGGCTCTGTGGCAGGAGTGTGATTTATCAAGTTCGACAGCGCTAAAGTAGCGGATTTTACAATGAGTTTGCGGCCTGCATGGGCCGCGAGGACAGCAACCTCTAACCTCTCCTAAACGAAGTCTTACTGTATTACTGGTACCACATTTGCCCAGGAATAGGCAGAGCATTGGCAGGGCGTTTATGGCGATCCGAATATGATTCTCGTGTTACGACAGCCGTGTTGGAAGGCACAGCTGGCAGCAAACCTTGTGCGGCTTGTGGCGGTCCTTGTGGTGGCCGGGGTGGCGTCGACGATGCTTTCCAGGCTGAGGGCCTTCAGAAGGAAATTGAAACCACGGCTCGACGGCTCTGCTCTGGCAGCTGATGGACGGATGTGTCCTCCACTGGAAGTGTTTCCAGCTGGAGCCCAAGAGCAGTTCTCTTGACTCCTGCGAGATTTTTTGGACAATGCCTCAGGTGCAGCATGTGCGGCAAAGCCGAGCAGGATACGTGGGGCATGTGGCAGCGATGAGCTTCGTGCTGTTTTGCTTTGTGGGAGGCGCCAGCGGATGGACGAATGCATGCAGTGACACTGCTGCGGAGCAAGGCTTGGTTGATTCCCTCGCAGTGCCATCACACGACCTTGTGTCCCGAAACTCTCAGCTACTCGTAGGGCCGTAGGGTCAGGGATCGGCAGCTTGCAGGTTGGTGCCTTGCTACAGGGAAAGCGACCCTCTCAGATGGAACCGTCGGCCGTGCTTGCTGGGCATCCCTTCAGCTGTTCCAGGTACGTGTGCGCATCGTGCGACGCTGTGGGAAAGAAGGCCTGAGCCCAAGAACTCCGGCTTGGAGCGTCCTGGGGAGCAGACAGGTTACCGGCTACGTGAGCCAGCGGGAAGAGCAGTGCGCTCCGGCGACCGGGACCACGGGCCGCTTCCTGACCTTGGAGGCGCCCCGCAGGCAAAACCATATGCGGCACAGTGCTGAGCTGACATGAGCTGACAGGAGCTGAAGGATGCAACCGTGTGGAAGTCGCCGCTGAGCTGCACCGCGCGAGCATCTCATGGTTCTTCATTGCAATGTTTTCACTCTTCAAAGAGAGAGGCTGGGAGTGGAAGCCAGCTGCCGCGAGCAGATGCTGAGCGACGACGACTTTAAAGCTGCCTTTGGATCCACGAAGGAGCGGCCCCAAAATGTCTCAGTCTCTGGGGCCCTGTGTGTGCGTGTCTCTTGTGATGTTTGGCAGGAGGAGTTCCAGAGACTGCCGGGGTGGAAAAGGACGCAAAAGAAGAAGGAGATGGGTCTCTTCTGAACCCGTACATTGCGGACAGGGAGATGCCAAAAAAGACGCGTGCTGTCGGGTGCTTGCACGATCAAGCATGCCGTGCTTTCATGGGGACAGTGGCACTGATACGGTTGCCTTGCAGGCCATGCAGTCGCGCGAAGGAGAGACCGTGGAGTTCATCAAGCCCGTCCGCAGCCAAACGACTTGCGATCGGTCTGGTGGCGTCATGGTGCCTGACAACCAGTAACCAAGGTGAACATCAACGAGGATCCGTCGATCAACGCTTGGCTTTCTAGGACGGAGGCCAGGGGGTGGTTCGGACGATCCCTTCTCCCGGCTCTCTCTTTTGCTTCTGCGGTCAGAGGCCCACATGCAGAGCTCCCTGGGCGAGCACCTGAACTCCTCGATGAATGAGCCTCCCTGCAGCAGATCGCTCTTGGAGATTTTCGAAGCACAGCGACCCAAGTCTGAGGCTGGGAACTCTCTTCACCGCAGACGGGAAGATCAGCGAGGAGGCCACCATGGTGGAGACCCCAGCGCAGAGGGAGAGAGAGAGCTGAGCAGCCGCTCCCGCCCCTCCTCCGAAATCCTCTGAGGCCTGGGTCTCCAAGTACCCCTGCCAGGTCTCGGGCTCGGGCGCTGGGCTCCAGATCAGAGCTACAGACCCCTCCTCTTCTCCAGACCCGGGCCCCGCGAGAGAGGTGCTTCTCATGGCGATCTTGGCCGACTGGTGTCAAAAAATCGAAGGGGCGCTGAGTGCTGGCGGGGACGTGGAGAAAGTCCTCGCGCGGGCCGTCGAGCAGCTGTCCTTCATGGCAGGGAAGGTCATCACGAACATCAGCAACGACGTTCGCCAGAAGCTTGCGCAGATGATCACCGAGGTGGTTCACCAGCGAGATGTCTCGCGACAGTTGATTCAGGACAAGGTGTCATCCCCAAAGGACTTCCAGTGGTTGCAGCTGATGCGAATGTATTGGAACCCCAGCGAGCCGCAGATTCTGCAACGCCTTTCCATCTGCATGGCAGATGCCAGCTTCTTCTACGGCTTTGAGTACCTGGGAATCGCCGACAAGTTGGTCCAGACCCCTCTGACAGACCGCTGCTTCCTGACACTGACCCAAGCACTGCACATGCGCCTGGGTGCCAACCCGTTTGGCCCGGCGGGCACCGGTAAGACGGAGTCGGTAAAGGCGTTGGGGAACACCATGGGAAGGTTCGTTTTGGTCTTTTGCTGTGACGAGGGCTTCGACTTCCAGGCCATGGGCCGAATCTTCGTGGGCCTGTGCCAAGTGGGCGCCTGGGGCTGCTTCGACGAGTTCAACCGACTTGAGGAAAGGATTCTCTCGGCGGTCTCTGAGCAGGTTCTAACCATACAGACTGGGAACAAACAGAACAAAAAGGAGATCGAGATCCTCGGGAAGCAGGCCGGAGCCTCTGGCAGTCTGGCAGTTGCGGAGCTCCGTGGCATAGGTTGCTTGCTTCCCCGAGTGCCGAGTGCAGGTGCGCTTGAACTCCAACGTGGGCATCTTCGTAACCATGAATCCCGGCTACGCCGGGCGCTCCAACCTGCCAGACAACCTGAAGCAGCTCTTCCGGGCCATGGCGATGCGCCGTCCTCGCTTTGCACGTCACAGCGCGTTTGAAGCTCTTTTGAGCCAGTTTCTTTGCCACACGACTCTGTCCGCTGAGGACCACGCCCAACAAGACTCTCATCGCCCAGGTGAACCTCTACAACCAGGGCTTCATCAGCGCCGAGAAGCTGGCCAGCAAGGCTTTCCGTGCCGGCGTCTAGAGGGGCAGAATTTTGGTAGTGACCTCCGTCTGAAGTCAGGTGGTCTTCCTTTTCGACCTCTGCAAGGATCAGCTCTCATCGCAGCCGCACTACGACTTTGGACTGCGCTCTCTGAAGGCATCGTTGCACGGTATAAGTCGCACACCCTGCTTGGATCCGATGGACAGGCCGTGTTGGCCTGTGCGGGCTCCATGAAGCGCGAGGAGGTCACGAACATAGGCCCTGGCCTTGCGCCCCTCGCGGCACTTACGCATTGGGCATCTGAGAGGTGCCGAGAAGTTCGGCGAGCTCTCGGAAGACGAGGCAGGGCAAGTCGTGTTGCATGTCCCTCGCTGCATCGTCATGTTGTTTCCAGGTGTCGCAGAGTGAGCAGAAGATTCTACTGCGAGCTATTTTCGATACGCTCGTTCCAAAGCTGGTAGCGCAAGACAAGCCGCTGATGCAAAGCTTGATCTCCGGTGTCTTCCCGGGCGCGGACGTCGGCATCGTGGACAATCAGATCCTTCAGGATGAGCCACGAGCTTAGCTGGTCGCTGCACTTGGGCTTGCGGCCGCATGTGGCCCAGCGGCGAGTCGCGAGATGTTGTCTTGAGCGCTGCGGCGTTGCCGAGGATTCGTAGGCTCTGCAAGCTGCGGCACTTTGAGTGCACGGACAACTTCATGTTGAAGTGCATGGAGCTCTTCCAAATCCAAAGGATCACTCATGGTGTAATGCTGGTGGGCACTGTCGGCACAGGAAAATCCACTGTTTGGCGAACGCTTCTGGATGCTATGGAGAAACTGGATAACATTAAAGGAGATGCTTATGTTGTGGATCCCAAAGCAGTGAGCAAAGAGGAATTGTATGGCAAGCTGGATCCAACGACACTGGAGTGGACCGATGGAGTTTTTACCGACATTCTTCGGCGTATTCTTTCAGGACATCGTGGCGAGAACCAGCGGCGACAATGGATAATGTTTGATGGTGAATCTCGCTGTAGAAAAGCACAGCACATGTGCACTTTCTGAAGTCCACGTACCTTCAACTCTGTAGTGTGACAGACCAGGAACGGTTGCATGCCATGCTGATACTTGCGCAGTCTTTCGCACACAGACAACGAGAAGCCGAAGATAAGAGAGGCCGATCAACCCGACAAACAATCGCTTAGACAAGGTAAGGGCGATGCCTTCAGCTTGCATCCTGATTGATTAGAGGACACCCTTGCTACAAAGTCAAGACTTTCCCGGAAAGACAAGACCAAGTCTTGACTCCAACTGACGGTTGTGGCAAGCATACCACTGCGACAACACGCTAGACTTGAGAAGGTACGCGCATCCAGCCAACATGCCCCTAGCTCCGGAGATATGCTGAGGACGTCGATCCGGAGTGGGCCGAGAACCTGAACTCAGTGCTTGATGACAACAAACTGTTGACACTCCCGAATGGGGAGCGCCTGGCCATTCCGCCGAGTCTTGCTTGCAGAACAAGAGGAGTTGGTAAGCGAGGCTGCGAGAGTCCTGCGGGAGTCCCTGAAGACCTGACACGAGACTCCGAGAGTATTGACAAACACTGCACCTCTTGCAACACTTCCAAAAAACCACGGAATCTTTTTTACTCGGAGTGGGGAGGTTAAGGAACCTTAATCAATCAAAAAGAAGGGGGAGGAGAAGTGGCGAGGAGCGGCGGGCAGGGGGTGGGCGGGTCTTTTACTTGGTGTTGTGATTCGTCGTGGCATCCCGGGATGTTTTAGCATCAGCGCTCCAGCGAAGGAATGTTCGGATCATGTTCGAGGTGGATACCCTTAAGTATGCCACGCTGGCCACAGTCAGTCGCTGTGGTATGGTTTGGTTTGCAAACGACGTGGTCACACGAGAGCTCCTCGGTCTGTTTACTCTGCGCGGCTGAGCTTTTTATACTTTAAGTTTTGTACTCCTTGTGCCGGGGCTCTGGTCTAGGATGCTCTGCAGCCACGAGCTGAAATCGATCAAGAGCCCTGGCCGCTTTTGAATCCACTCGGAGCAGCGTGCTCTTTTCGGGGTCTGAAAGGCATGGCAACCTCGAGTCCGAGAGCCAGAAGAAAGACGAGGCTCACGAAGGCGCCGGGCTGTTTGACACACACAGGGCCCCTTCCTTTGGTTTTTACAGCGAGCGGAGGACTTCCCAAGGAGCAGAGGACGAAGGTGAAATGCATCGAAGCCTTGGAGCCCCTCTTCGAGAAAGGCTCTCTCGTGCTCTCCGCCCTGCAGCCGCCCGGCTGTGGCTCTTGGAACTGTTGGAAGTAGGAAGGAACCACAGCACATCGGATCCGATCTGAGGCTTGCTTTCGAGATGGATCACATCATGACTTTTACTGCCATCAGGGCCTTGACTGGCTTGCAGCTTGGCCCTGGCACGGGGACCACGCCCTGCTCCGCCTCTGGAATCTCTTCTGTCACGCAAAAAAGCCGAGGTTTTCGATGGTCCGCAAGGGCATCAACATGATTCTGGAGTACGATGAAGTTCATGAAGAGTTCCCGTTGGCAGATGATGTCTTGCAGTCCTTCATGCGCAAATACCTGGTCTTTGCTATCTGCTGGTCGTTTGGTGGCGACATGATCCTGGGCAGCATAGAAGCTGTTGATGATGTTGTCTTGGGGAAGGGGTGCTATTGGCCGTGACAATAGAAGGATGAGGCGGTGCAGGGCTACCTGGTGTTCTACGATGAAACTGCTAAGGCAAATCATCTAGAGGATTGCACATGGCACCGTCAGTGCATTTCTCGCGTTTGTGCACCTAGGACGAACGGAAGCAGCTCAGTAACAGTAGTTCGGTGCTTTCGGTACCTTTAAGCTTCGTCTTGGGAATCAGGTTTCTCAACACACGCATGAAGTTCTGCGAGATGTTGGCGGGGCACCTGGGGGACATTCCGGCTCCGGACGGCCTTGGTGGCGACACTACGCTGCTCGACTTCGAGGTCCGCGTCGAGGATGGGCAATGGTACCACTGGGACAAAAGGGTGCCGACCTTGGACATTGATCCCGAGAAAGTGGCCGACAGCAGCTTGATCATCTCCACGGTCGACACTGTGCGACATACCTCCACTCTTGCAGCCTGGCTGGAGGAGCGGAAGCCCTTCGTTTTGAGTGGCCCCCCCGGCAGCGGCAAGACAATGACGTTAATGTCGACCATGAAGGCTATGGCAGGCAGTCTGGAGCTTGCATCCTTGAACTTCTCGGCGGGTACGACTCCCGACCTGTTGCTGAAGACCTTCGACCTATACTGTGAGACCGTGAAGACCCCGAACGGCCTCGTAATGCGTCCTCTGCAATTGAATCGCTGGGTCGTGGTCTTTTGCGATGAGTGCAACCTTCCAGAACAGGACAAGTATGGTACGCAGAAGGTGATCATGTTCATCCGCCAGATCACCGAAGCTGGGGGCTTCTATCGGCCGAGTGACAAGCAGTGGGTCAACGTGGAGCGCGTTCAGTTTCTTGGAGCTTGCAACCCTCCGACGGATCCGGGTCGCCATCCGATGTCTGACCGCTTCCTAAGACACGCTCCTGTGATCTGGGTGGACTACCCCGGGCCGGACTCCCTGCGCCAGATCTATGGCACCTTCAATCGTGCCATGCTGAAGCTGCAACCGCAGCTCGACAAGAGTTGCTCCGAGGGGATGACGAACACAATGGTGCAGTTCTGGCGGGAAAGCGCGCAGAAGTTCACGTCCGACCAGCAGCCCCACTATCTCTACTCTCCACGTGAGCTCACTCGTTGGAAGACAGCTCTTTATGAGTGCATGCGATACTGGGATGGCATGACTCAGACAAATCTTATCCGTCTCTTGGTGCACGAAGCTCTTGGCCAGCATCCAGCATGAGTTTCGCGTAGTAACTTAGTATGCATGCCAGATTGGGAACAGAGGGTTGGTGACCCCTCGCAGGGTCTGCGGATCTTTGTGGACCGTCTGGTGCATGAGGAGGAGCGACAGTGGATCCTCGGCTGAACCGAATCTGCATAAATAGTCTGCCATGTCACATGTCTGAACAGAACTACACCAAGGAGCGAGGAGCTGCTGGACGAGGCCGGCAGTGATACGTAGTTGCATTCCTTCCAAGTTCACACTCTTGTTTCAGGTGGTGCAGAGAGAGTGGCTGAACTGCAAGTCGGGAAGGTGGTTGCCATGCCAGCAGCTGTCATTCGCTTTTCATCGGGAACGTCCTGACACCATGAATTGCTGCGCGTGCCTGTGTCGAAGTGCTAAAGCTTTGTGCAAGGTTTGGTTGTAGCGCCGACGTGCTCCAGCGTCCAATTCTATTCAGCTGCTGCTTGGTTGTGTGAAGTTAACATTCGCGCTGCAAAAGGCAGATGCAGGGTGACAACAGCTGAGCGTCAATGGCAAACAGGTCGGAAGTGTGAAGGTCTCATGCGATGCCAGGTTACCTGGATGAGCAGCACCGTTATCGCGATGAGACGAGAGAAAACCTGCGAGAGTTCGTGCGGCTTGGATTTGGATACCGGGCCCAGATTCACCTGTCGAAAAGCACACTTTGCTAGGAAGGGCAAGCTCAGCATATTCTATGAGGAGGAGCTGGACGTGCCATCCTCAGGCTTGGCAAGCGAGCAAGGGCAGTGACGCCGTGCAGTTTACATCTCAGGTGCGACTGGTTATCTTCGATTCCGTGCTGGACCACATCGTTCGCATGGACCGGGTCCTGAGGCACAGTCTGCGGCGCAGTGCTTACCTGAAGTGGAAGGGCCACGGTATCATCTTGGGTGGCGCAGGCAGCCCCTTGGGCACCTCCTGCTCGTGGGAGCATCGGGTGCTGGCAAGACGGCCACCTGCTTAAATAGGATTGGCCGACGTCTTGGGGGCTACTTAGTAGGTCTCTCGGTGCAGACTGTCTTCTTCACAGCCAGAACACGAGCACGGAAGCTAGAACAAGCAATCAGGATGTTTCAACACACCTCCTTCATTCAGAACCGAGCTGCTACAGTTGTTCTCGAATCCGCATTGCCAAATAATTCTTTGGCCTCGACATGAAAGCGCAGGTGTCGAGGTGCCCCGGGCCAAAACCCGAAATCTAAGTTTGTCTAGTTTATCTTGGTTTGTCTTCCTGTTTCCAGGGGTGGTCGTTTTGGGCCCCAGCAGTTTGGGGGCTCTGTTGTGTTCCTGGGATTACTCTTTCCAGCGCCATTCGTCTCCAACAGCTGGGCGAGGCATTTGTGTTGTTAGGTATGTTAAGTGTTCATGCTTTTCTCGCAGACCATTGAGAAGGGAGAGACTTTCAGTAGACTTTTCCTTGGGCTCCGAGTATGTAAGAAGTTCTTCTGAGTCAGTTGTGGCAGCGCGTTTTATTTCCCAATGCCGACTTGATAGCGGCCATCAGGGAAGATTCTCCGCGAAAGACCAGTTTAGACTGCAGGCACAGGGTTTGGAGGTCAATTCACCGAGGTTCTCTCCAAGTTTGTCTCCTGGCTGAATGGGCTGAGCGTGTACACCTTGAAGATCGGGCGGAACTACGACGTCCTCGCCTTCGAGGCTGACGTGCGCATGGTCATGAAGCGCAGCTAAGCAGAAAGAAATGAGCCCTTGATGCCTAGGCCTAGGTTCGGCACAAGAGCCAGTCCGTAGAAATCGAGGTGCAGGCGTGAAGGGCGAGAAGATCACCTTCATCTTCGACGAGTCCAACGCGGGCAGCTGAGGAAGCAGAAGAACAACGAAGAACACGGAGCTTTTAAAGCCCCAGAGCCCCACATGTAACTGTCGGGAGCGATCCGAAACAAGGCCTTGGGTCCGGCGTTCATTGAGAGGATGAACGCGCTCCTGGCCTCGGGGGAAGTGCCGGGACTCTTCGAAGGCGACGAGTACACAGCGCTCATCCACGAGCCTTTGCCTTTTTTCGGACCTAGGATTCTGGAAGGCTCGTGGTAGCTCGCTCCGGCATACCTGTGGCAAGGAATGCCGCGGCGCAAACATCCAGGGCGTCGATGACGCAGAAATCTTCGCACGTTTCACGAAGCAAGTCCAGCGCAATCTGCACATCGTCTTCACGATGTATCTTGTCTGGACAAGCTCCTTGTTCTTCTTGAAGCAGGTTGTGAGCCAATCAGGGCTTTGTAGGGATCAAAGAAGAGTCAGTTACTGGCCACCCCTGAAGACCAGGATCTTGCCTTCTGAAACTCGAGACCTGTGTAAATACCTGTCTCGAATCGCGCCGATGCGCGCGTGCACACACGCACACACGCGCACGCACGCAACCAACACACTTACAGACAGAGACAGAGACAGAGACAGAGACAGAGACAGAGACAGAGACAGAGACAGAGAGACAGGCAGGCAGGCAGGCAGGCAGGCAGGCAGGCAGGCAGGCAGGCAGGCAGGCAGGCAGGCAGGCAGGCAGGCAGGGCAGGCAGGCACACAGACAGACGCACAGACAGACAAACACAAACACGAACACACACCCCCCCACACGCACACGCGCACACACGCACGCACACGCGCACGCACGCACGCACACGCGCACGCACGCACGCACACGCACACGCACACGCACACGCACACGCACACGCACACGCACACGCACAAACACACACACACACACACACTTTTGCAGACAGAGACACACACACACACACATCTGTGTGTGTGTG